CTCAGCCTTCCAAGTAGCTGGAATTACAGGCGCGTGCTACCACGCCTGGCTAATTTTTTTGATTTATTGTAGACGTGAGGTCTTGCCAAGTTGCCCAGGCAAGTCTCAAACCCGTGGGCTCAGGCAATCCACTCACCTCAGCCTCCCAAAGCGCGAAATTGCAGACTGAGCCACCGACTCCAACCTATTTATGTTATCAATGTATTCATTACTTCGTAATGCTATTATCTGCAGTCTCCAGATAGTGGTGGCTGGTTTCCTAGTATGTTTTGTGATTTTTGTTATAGTATTTGCTGAGATTTATTTATTTATTTATTTATTTTGAGTTGGAGTCTCACTCTGTCACCCAGACTGGAGTGCAATGGCTGCTCCCGGCCACCACAGCCTCGACCTGCTGGGTTCCAGTGATCCTTCTGCCTCAACCTTCCAAGTAACCGGAACTACAGGCGTGCGCTACCATGCCCGGCTAAATTTTGATTTATTGTAGAGACAAGTTCTTGCTATGTTGCCCGGGTAGGTCTCGAACTCACGGACTCAGGCAATCTACTTGCCTTGGCCTCCCAAAGTGTGGGATTACAGGCTGATAATGGGCTCTTTTGCCAAATAGTTTTGGGAAACATGGGGTTGAATGATGGGAAACAGGGTTTTTTTTCAGTGTAGAATTTCTCATGGTATTTAATATGCATAGCTTTGGTGCTCTGTAGTTGGATTTTGTAAGTTTTTTTCTTGTCTCAATCTACTCCTTTGGGGGATGTGGGATATATATGTAGAACATCTTGTGTGACAAATGGAACACACTTTGGCAAATATAATTCAGCCTTCTGATACCCTTTTGCCTACTGCCTTTTTTCACTGTCTCTCCTACTGTGTTTGTACTACTCTGCTCTATGACTTCATACATGTATGTATTTCTGTCTGTCTTGTATTTAACCTTCCTGAGAGACAATGTGATTGTGTCTGGTACTACTTATCCTCAGAGTAAAACAGGTACCTGAAGTGGTAGATATATATAATTTGGGAGGGGGCGGCTTCCTGTTTATTTTCTGTCTCTACAAGTTGTATGTAAATTTCCTGAGATCATATGTGTTTTATGCATCATTGTTTCCACACTGTCTTAACATAGGAACTGGCATAATAGATGCTCGGTCGATGTATGTTGAGTCCTTTAGCTTGGTCATCTGAGAGTTGGACAGTGTAACCAGCAGTTGTATTGCCTGGCTTGTCCATTATTGTTGGTTTCATTTTTCATCCTATTGTATCTTCCAGTATCTTTTGAACAGAAGTTGACCTGTCAGGCTGTATGAGGGGGACCCAAAAAAACCCAGAATTATCTTTGGAAGGCAACCCCCTTGTAGCACATTCAGAATTTGTTCACCTGAATCAGATGGTCAACCAGTTTTTATCTGGAGTTTTGAGAAGGTTGCTTTACTATTTGTGGAAGAAACGTCCTGAATTGTGGCAAACAGGTGACTGATTCTTCCATCATAACAACGACCCTGCGCACGCTGTGCTGAAAGCTAAGCAGTTTTTGACCAAAAAACAGAATGGCCCCTGTGCTCCACCCTCCCTATTTACCCAGTTTCCCCCCATTTGGCTTTTTTTGTTTGTTTGTTTCCCTGGATGAAAAAACGTCCTCAAAGGGAATGTTTTGCTGATGTGGAAGAGGAAAACAAAAAACGGCTGAAGCACTAAAAAGCACAGCCAAATTGATGTGTTCAAAAACTGTTTTGAGCAGTGGAAGAAGCATCTGAATAGGTGTATTGCATGAAAAAAGCGAGTACTTTGAAGGTGACTGAATTTTAAACATGCATGAATAAATACCAACTTTTTAGAAATATATTCCATTTTTTGGTGCCTTCCCTTCCCCTATACAAACATCCAAAGTGTAAAGAAAGATGTTTTGAGTATGTTTCCTCTACCTCAAACAATAACTTCCTCCTCTGAGCTTTACTTCAGATGTTACACTGTTGGTGAAGCTGTGATTTTGCTTATACTCTGTTACTCCTTTCATTGTTGATGTTCCCACAGCACTTTGTACATAGCTCTCTCAACACATCTTGGTGGTACTGCATTTTTGTCTTTCCTGCCAGACTTTGAGTTCGCTGAGGGTGGAGATACTGAAGGGAGGCTTAAGTGATATGTCTGTGCAGTCAGGATCTCATCATGTATTCCTGCAGAGGAAAGGAGAGACTAGTAGAGAAGCAGTCTGAGCATCTAGCAGGTTATTTTGGTGTTTGTTCGATGTGGGCTAGTGAGAGCACAGTTGGCATCAGAACTCACTATGATTGATTGAGGCATATCCTATCTCACTGGGTTAATTTGATTATGTAGTGAGCAGTGAGGTAGTTATTATCCCCATTTTACTGATCGGGAGACTGAGAGGCTTCCCCCATGTCACACTTGTCCAGTCATAGGAAATGCTTACAGCATGTTGAATGAAGGAAGAACTGGCCCTGGCTCCAGCCCTGTACTGACACGCGGTGCACTGCCAGCATACCAATGGCACCAGCAACACCACTTTGTGGTGGTGGTCTTTGCGGATGTTTTCCTCTTAATCTTGCAGGAGAATTCTGTCCATGAGAGCGTGTTTCTATTTTTGAAAATGGAAACCAATGAGAAAGTGTCTTATTAAGAGAAACTGACTTTAGGCCAGTGTTGGAATGTGCTTTCTCCTTGAACTGAGGCATATATTTATAGATATCAATTGTCTTAATCTTTTTGCTCTAATTTATAGCAGCATCCTAACCAGTTGTTATGTATTACAATTCTTTTAGTACTCACCACACCCATGTGGTAGGTTCTCTTACCTCCACTTCACAGATGTGCAAACCAAAGCTAACAGCAGTGTCTTGTCATGGGGCACGTAGCTTGTAAGTAATGGAAATGGGTTTACAACTATAGTATTTGGCATACGAACCCATTACTCTTAGCCACGACAGTGTATTTTTAAATGTATTTTCAATATATGGACATCCAAGCACACATCTGTCTCAAACATACTTAGCAATTTAGCTGGCACATTGTTTATTATGTTGAAATAATGTAACCTGTGTGTGACTTTGTCCTTCTTCCCTTTACTATTTGATGCGGTTCTATTCTTTTTCTAAATGCTACTATAAGAAGCTTAATAAGCCGGGCTCGGTGGCTCAGCCTGTAATCCCGCACCTTTGGGAGGCTGAGGTGAGTGGATTGCCTGAGCCTGCGGGTTCGAGACCCGCCTGGGCAGCGAGACCTCATCTCTACAATAAATCAAAAAATCAGCCAGGCGAGGTAGTGTGCGCCTGTAATTCTGGCTACTTGGAAGGCTGAGGCGGAAGGATCGCCGGAGTCCAGCAGGTCAAGGCTGCGGTGGGGCCACTGCACTCCAGTCTGGGCGATAGAGTGAGACTCCAACTCAAAAAAAAAAAAAGAAGCTTAATAAAATACCAGACTCTCCTCTTCAATACATATGTATGGGGAACATTGATTCTCACACAGCGAATGAACTAACGGGTATACATTTTGATAGTGGAAGGCATTCATTTCAAGGATGGAACAGTCTGATGGCTTGTTCTTTTTTCTAGCTGTCCAGTAGTGGCTTATGTCAGTGCATCTGGGCAGGAGGCGTGTGTCTGACCTGACCTCACAGTTGGGGTGTTCCAGGGATGTGCATCTTAATTGGAAATGAGTCGCCATTTTGATTATGTTTTACCATTGATTATACAATGAGCTTTTCTTCTGTGGCTGTCAAAGGCTTTTACATCTCTGTTCACAGCAGCTTCTAAAATTAAAAAAAAAAAGCCCTTCAAGGTAAAAATAATAGAGGCAATTGATTTATTGTCACAGTTCCATTATCTTGCATTTTGAAAATTTATTCTGGTGTGAACACCATATAATTCTCTATAGAATTATAAATAGAAGCATAGCTTGCATTGAAAAAATTTTATTTTACAAATATAGAAGAAAAATTAAAAAATCAAACCAGAGTGCTGATGGGAGAAATTATGTCAGAATACATTGAATAATAGGATTAACTGATAGTCCCAGGGAGTATATCTTGTGGACATGTCATGAGCCACCTTAAGGAATTAAGGGAAGAAGTTTAACCATGTTTTTGTACTGTTTTTCTTTTCTTTTTTTGATTTGGAGTCTTACTCTGTTTTTTAAATAAGCAAATGAACTGCTATCATTTTGCTATTTTGGGCTTTTTTTTTGTATTTACATAGAGTAACAGAGCAGAGGGCATTTGATTATGCTTTCATATTAGATTTGATGCTTTGTGTGTGGTGGGTGGGAGGACTAATAAAGTGAAAAAATTGCTAATCACTTAAACATTGTTAAAAATTAGGAAAAATATGTTAACTGACAATAAATCATGTATCTGTTATGAGGTCCTTATTAACAGTATTCATGGGATCTTTAGTTCTTAAAAAGTAAAGGTACTGTTTTTTTTTTCCCTCCAGAAACGTGCTAAGGGACAAGTGTTATTCGACAAAGTGTGTGAACACCTTAATCTTTTGGAGAAGGACTACTTTGGACTTTTGTTTCAGGAAAGCCCTGAACAGAAAGTAAGTGAATTCAAGTTCATTTGTATCCTCTTAGAGCATATTGTCTTTTTTTCTTAACCAGTTTATCTCAGTGTAAAACTTAGCTTTTAAATAACTTATGATTTATTATGACTTCACTGTAGAAATTTGATAAATGTTGAAAAATTGTGTAGAGAGAGCCATCTGTATGGTTTTGGCATTTGTGTGTGTGTGCGCGTGTGCATGCTTTCTGTTTATGTAATGAGCAGAAGGAATTGAATGTCATTGATAGGAAATTGATGTTCTGGCATAAAGACAACACAGACTTTCTCTCGGTCACTCATCTGTCTCACTCAGTAGTCTCTTGGTATTATGCATAGAGGCTGGTCAAATCCTCTCATATTGTGTGGTCACCTGCATGCTAGGTACTTAGCATGACTGAACAACTGGGAAGGAGACACATAGAAAAGATTCTTTCTGAGGATACTCAGAACCCTTGGGCACAGTGAAAGTGATTACTCTCCAATCTCTAACATTCACATCACAGTCAGTAGAACAGAACAGTCAATGGAAGAATATTAAGTGTACTTTATTTGCCTTCGTGGCATTATTGTTTGTATTTACACATCCTGCTAATGAAATATAAGGTACCAAGGGTGATAATTACTTATACTTTAAGCCTGCTTTGTTTTAAATCCTTGATATCTAATTTGTGGTTTAATTCCATGTTTAGACTTAAAGACAAATTAAATTGCATGCCTGTCTGCTGAATAATATGAGAGTATTGTTATTAGAACTCCATTTAGAATACTCTTCAGAAGTGATAACACATTTGACTGATTCACTTTTTTTAGGCTATAAATTATAAGGTTTTGATAATAGTTCCAACCATGTGCTCTTCTGCCTGCCCTAAAAACTGCAAAAGAGAAAGTGGTAGGAATTTGGCTATTGTTAAGCTACTTTTTTGGAGATTACATATTGGTAGATAACATATGAGCATTTAATCTTTGTAAAATAGAGAGACACTTCAGTATGTTATATAATATGTAGGATAGCATGTTCTCTTAGTGGAACTGGGATATAGTGCATTAAAAAGTCTGGTATGTTTGTAACGCTGGTTTTGTATAAGAGTGATATTTAGTAGGATTTACTGGTTTTTATTTTGGTGAGTCCCAATATATGTGTCTAATCCATGTCTTTCACCTGAATCTTTAACCGCTCACTGGACAGTAGAGTTGACAGTTCCCTCTGTTGGTCATCTGTGCATTTGCTACAAACTGTATTTGTGTGTTATTCTTTCTCCTCATTACTCTGTTACCTCCTTGAGGGTCAAGACCATGCCTTGTTTAACTTTGTAGCCTCAGTATATGTAGACATTAACTAATGCTTATTATCTGTGTGCCATCTCACACCCATAAGGGTGACCGTTCTCGTAAAAAGAGAAAATAACAAGTGTTGGCGAGGCTATAAAGAGATTGGAGTCCTTGTACATCATGGGTGGGAATATAAAATGGTGCAGCTGCTACAGAAAGCAGTGTGGAGGTTCTGCAAAAAATTGAAAACAGAACTATCATGTGATCTAGCAATCCTACTTGTGGGTCTATATACAAAATAATTGAAAGGAAGACCTTGAAGAGATATTTGATACCCATGGTCATTGCAGTGTTATTCACATTAGCCAAGAGGTAGAAGCAATCTTCATGTCCGTCAGCAGATGAATGAATAAAAAAAAAGTGGTAGACACATACAATGGGATATGATTTAGCCTTAAAAAAAAAGAAGGAAATTCAGTCACATGCTGCAACATGATGTATTTAATACTCTTGGGGAGGAAAATGGTGGTCGCCAGGGACTGAGGACAGGGGAAATTCGAATTGTAGTGGGTATAGAGTTTCAGTTTTGCAGGATGAAAAAGTTCTAGTGATCTGTTGTATAACAATGATAATATAGTTAACACTACCTAACTGTGTGTTAACAAATGGTTAAAATGTCAAGTGTGTTTTGTACTACATTTAAAAAATAGGCTGGGCATGATGATTAGCGCCTATAATCCTCGCACCTTTGGAGACTAAGGTGAGAGGATCACTTGAGGCCAGGAGTTTGAGACCACCTTGAGCAACAAAGCGAGACCCCATCTCACTTAGCTGGGCATGGTGGTATGTGCTTCTAGTCCCAGCCACTTGGGAGGCTGGAGGTGGAAAGATTGCGTGAGCTGAGGAGTTGGAGACTTCAGTGAGCCATGAGCTCCTCATTGCACTCCAGCTTGGGTGACAGAGTGAAACCCTGTGTCTTAAAAAATAAAAAATTAAAATGAAACAAAAAGCTACCTGTGTACAAACCATTGTGCTAACTGCTGAGGATCTAACAGTACGCGTGAGGACATAGATTCTACTCTTTTCAACGTCCCTGCCCTTAGTGGTATCCCTGCTTATGTCCTAGTCGAAGAGACAGAGTGACAAAACTAATTCCACAGTTATTAAATTTTGATTACTACCCTACAGGAAAAAGTCAGAATCCTAATAGGAAGATTCTTCTTAGGAGGGGGTGATGCTTATGCAGAGAACTGATGTGTGAGTGGACGTTGGCATGCACAGCGCATCCATGGGGCCCTGAGGCAGGGGCAGCTATCCAGTTGAACACTGGAAAGAAGTCTGATGTGGTTATTGGGGGTGGGGGGGTGAGGGGAGGGATAAGATTAGGCTGGTGGAAGGGCTGGATATTAACAGGAGTCAGATGATATAGGGCCATGTAGGCCTTAGATGAAGACTGGAGATTACCCTTTTCCTAAGAAAAAATGTCAAAGCATTGATGGGCCGAAGCAGAGATATGAGATGACCAGTTTTGCCTTTAAAAAGGTCACTTTTGGGGTTAGTGGAAATGAGATGAGAGGCCCTGAGTATGACTGCTCACCCGAAGCACAAAAGTGACCTTGATCAAGGCTGTGGCAGTGGAAATAGAAAAGTGTGATTCAGAGAGATTGAGGAAGAAGGGAAATCAGTCTTATGGTTGATTGGACGTGAGAGATGACAGATACCAAAAGGCCTGGGTTTCTGCACGGATGGAGGTGGTGTTCAGTGAGATGAGGAAGAGGAAGACTTGGTTGGAGGGTTGGAGGGGGGATGTCGTGGGTATAGTTGCAGACATGTTGAGTTTTAGATCAGGTCACTTACGGAAAGAACAAACCAATGGATTTAATTTGGGGTGTGTCTTAAAGAATGGCAGCTAGCGTGGAACAGCCACTCCAGGTGTAAATCAGTTTCAGCAGTGCAGAGCACATGAGGTGGTTTTATTTCCTGATGGGAATGTCATTTATGTTGAGGCTTATAATCAGGCATAGTGGCTTTTACCATAAAAATATTCCAAATAAAATAGAAATGGCTGTTAATAGCTAATCATTCTGGGATTCTTACTGTGCAGCAGGCAGTCATAGTTCCAAACACATTATACGTGTTGACTTAGGTAGTTCTTAGAATAACCCTAAAAGGTAGGTATTAGCAACCACACTTTATTTAATTTTTTGCATTGGAATCTCACTCTGTCGCCCAGGCTGGAGTGCTTTGGCATGCTCACAGCCACCACAGCCTTGACCTGCTGGGATCAGGTGATCCTTCTGCCTCAGCCTTCCAATAGCTGGAACTACAGGCATGTGCCACCACACTTGGCTAATTGTTTGATCTATTATAGAGAGAAGGTCTTGCCGAGTTTCCCAGGCTGATCTCAAACCCCTAGGCTCAGGCAATCTTCTTGCTTCTGCCTCCCAAAGGACTGGGATTACAGACATGAACTACCGTGTCCAGCTAGCAACCACACTTTATACATGCAGAAATTTGAGGCATAGAAAAATTAAATAATTCACCCAAGATCACCTAGGCAATACATGCTGGAGATAAGATTCAAACCCAGGCAAAACTAAGAAGACAAAATTTGATTTAAGTTTTAGGTAAAATGCAGCAGCTGTGACTTTCAGTCTGTGTAAAAATGAGAACACTATTTCATAATTATCATAACCGTAGAAATGAAAGTGTACTATCTTGCCTCAAAGAAATTTTTAACATTATCAAACTCTAAATGTTGTCTTGCAAGACTTTATTTGTATATGGGGTATTGGAGAATGTTGTGAACTGAGTTTGTAGTAGGAATTTCACAGTTGAAATTTTTCTTATGGTATCATCAGACTTAAGGGCATGAACTAACTTACTGATGGTTCTGTGATGGTTCATGCCAGTCCTGCTCAAAAAGAACTTATTTATTTGTGTCAGAATCAGCTGGAGGACAGATTTTTATTAGGAAGCTTATTTATTTTTCTTATACGTCCATTGTGTTCACTGGGCATGCCAGAATTCCTTCCTTCTCAGTTAAAAAGAGTGCCATCCTGGATTAAATTATATGTAAATTGTTGAAGGATATTCTGCGTTGTGTTACAAGCCGGGATATGTTGTATCCCTCAGATATATTGGGGCAGAAAACAGGCTAATATTATTCACGTAAATAGCTTTCTAATCTAATTCAATTCAGTGATAGAGCTTAACATACCCTATCTTAAATACCAGCTGAATATTTATTAGGGACTAGATAGGAGAAACTTTTAAGTTTTACTACCTGATAAAGGGCTTGTGGTATGAATATTTTATATTATTATATAAAGACAGATCTATAAATTTTGGAAATAATGTGAGCGGCTTAGTGTTGACATTCTATTACAGCCGTTGAGAATTATGACCAAGATTGTGGATATGGGCAGGGAAGGGACGTTCTGCACAGAAGAAGGTAATGGCTCCAGTGTGAATGCTCATGCATGAGTAATTTCAAGTTGTCTGACGGCTGGAGGATATGGCAGTTCTAGCATGTCTGTTTTGGAAAGACCCATGAGCAGTAGGGAAGTTGAAAAGAGGAACTTGGGCCTTGTCCCAAAACTGTGTTTTCTCAGCAAGCATGCTGTTTTACCTTAGCTTTTGGGTTAATTTGGGGTGACTTTGTGGGAGTGCTGATGGAGATAAGGGAAAGCAGCTGAAAAGATAGGCAAAGATCATTTTTTGAAAGAC